CGATTTCACTAAGTGGAATCAAACCACCACACACATCATCCTAGTTGGATACCGGCCCACTATATCCGAGTTGTTTATTACCCGGTATTCCATTAATCTTTCAATTTAAAAACCTTTTTATGCAACTTTTCGAAATTATGCTTATGAACCACACATAAACATCACAAAGGTGAATCAAGTGCCACAAAATCACACAAATATTACAATTTACCACATAAATATAAATTGGGTAAAAATCCCCAAATTCTCACACATAAATACACAACCACACACGGCACACATCACATGCACAATCAGCACACACACACTCACACATATTTAGCACACACACATGCAACCACACATTAAATCATCAACATTTAATAGGAAGCCATGCATGTAAAGCAAGTACCATTTTTTTTCACCTTTTATTTAATGAACTTATTACCACACTTAGGTAATAATCCATTCCCATAATTTTCAACACTAGTAACCACATCTTTGCAGCCATTTAAAGGTGTAAAACCTCAAATCTCATCACTCATAGTTGTTAAATTAAAGCCATGAAAGTAAAGGCACAAAAACACAATAAATGACATGCAAAATGTCTAAATTTCGAAATAATAGCAAAATAACTCCAAACATTCCCAAATTAAATCCTAGAATTCCTAACTGACCCAAATTCCAGATTCTGAAATTTATTTTAAATTTTCACAAAGTTTCGAATTTTCTTGAAATCAAAACTAGAAATTTCCCTTTTTCTTTTAAAAGTCAATAACTCTAATATAATTTTAGTTACTTTGAAAACTTTGTAAATAAAACTTTTTCCCATTTAATACTTGCTGGAAAAAAAAACAGATCCAAACTTGAGAAGTGAGAGATTTTCCAGAAAATGCAGTTTTGACCCCAAAGTTTCAAGATTTACACATGCAACCACACTAAAGGTTCAAAACCCACTTTTTCATGAAAACCCCTAACAAATCTGAAATTTTACTTTATTAGATGCAGAAAATGAAGTTGAAAAGTCACTTTATGCAGAAATTTCTACAATGACATATTTTACCCCAAAAATCCTTAGATCTACACATGCAAGACCACTAGAGGTTGAAAATTCACTTTTTCTTGCAACACTTCCTTAAATCCGAAAATTTTGTTCAATAAATGCTGGAAAACAGTTTTGAAAACACATTTAGGACTGACTTCTCAAAAATTACAGATTCGGCCCAAACTTTTGAAGATCTACACATGCAACCCCATAAAAGTTAAAATTTCATTTTTCTTGAAAACCCCTTTTTGAAATCTGAAATTTTTAATGCTTTGGGCCAATAAAAGTTGTATCTACCCACTATCAACATAGATGATGCATGCAAGAACAAGAAATTAACAAGAAACACTTCTTTTCCAATTTTTTCCCAAAAGCCCCAAATTTTCGAAATCACTCCCAATGTTTTAGAAAATTTTGAAAACCATTTTAATACTATTGATGCCATTTAATTGCAGCAAGGAATCGAAATTTCTTACCTTAAAATCGAAGAAAGAAAACAATCGAAGGAAGGAGGGCTTTCAAGCACCGAAATCCAACCAAGCTACCTTGATTGTGAAAGAAATGGTGTGAGCTTCAAGAAGGGAGGAGTTGTTATCTCCCGTAAGGAGGCAAGTGGTTTTGATGGTATTTTTGGAGTAGTCTATGGCAAGAGTTAAATAGGGAACCTTCATCTTATTTTTGGGATTTTCTTTGAAAATAGGAGGTCAGGTGGATGATGGAGGAGGCCGATGGTGGTGGTGATGGCTTCGGTGGAAAGAGGAGAGGAAGACAAGTAATGGGTGAGGTGTTGGAAGGAAAAAGATGAAGAGTGTCTCTTCATCTTACTAATCTCTCCCTTGAGTGTAAATTTAGAGGAAATGATGGTAATTTGCCAAGTGGAAAGACATGCACAATTAGTACTAATTTATTTAAATAAATAAATCCAACTTGCATAACACACACACACATTTCGGACACACACACACATATACTCAAATATAAAAAGCAAGTATTAGCATATATGTATGCATATGTACGTATATACGTATGCATGTAAGTACGCATGTATATATGTGTGTGTATATATATATATATATATATATATATATATATATATATATATATATATATAATCCACATAATTCACCAAATTTCGAATAAGTTACCAAATAACTAAGATATGCAATTATTCATATAAGTCACGTAATTCACGAAATTCCTAGAATTTCAATTTACGAAAATATAAATCACACATATAATAGCGCACGTAATTATTCACGTAAGTCACATAGTTAAATTCACGTAATGCATATAATTAATATCATGCAATAATACTACCTAAGGGTTCTCGAGGTAGAAATATTAGTCTCGGGTTTTAGGGTTTTCGGGTTTTGGAAAGGTGGGGTGTTACAATTTTTAAATCATGTGTATGAGTATTGATGTCAGAAAATTGAAGAAAATGAGGGGAGGATTTTTTTCTAATTTTCTCCACTAATTAAAAATCCTAAAATGAGAAAAATTGTTTTCTAAAATTTTGTGCATGCATAAATATGATAAAATGCCCACTTAAATTCATATGCAGGAATAAAATCTTAGTTCATGAAAAATATTTTATTTCGACATATTCGAGAAATATTTATCTCGACATAATATTTCAAAATATTTCCTACGCACGCAATTCACGTAATCACATAATTCACAAAATCATATAATTCACATAATCATATATTTCACAAAATCACAAAATTCACATAATCATATATTTCACATATAGGGATAGGTCCACCCCTAAAATTCTTCCTTTGAGATACCCCTGAAGATGCAAAAGTACCATTGATCCCTTAATTGCAATTTTCGGCCAACTGCATTCAGTATTTTCGCCCCTACATTCAGGCAAAATGTGTTAAATTTATAACTCGATAATTTAATAATTCTCTAAATTAATAGAATTTCCATAGTCCCGACTATATTAATTTATAGAGGTTTAACTGTATTCATATACTGTTTTTTTACCCAAAAATTAATCTACACAAACAACAAAATTCACAATTTTAATGTTGATATTATAAATCAATTAACCCAAAAAAAATGAAAAAACACAATCACATGCATGTAATCTTCAAACATGGACATGCATTATTATACATTAAAAAACACATAGCATACATATAACTATATATGTTACTATACGTGACTATAGTTATCTACAATTATCGATAGTTATCTATAGTAACATAAAGTTTAGACTATTGTAGTATGAATCCAACTTCACTAGGCACTTCGCCGCATCTTATTCTCAGCATCTCATAACATTATACAAATAACAAAACCTGCGACAAAAAAATACGAGTTAAAGAGCAAAATGGAACATGCAAACTAGATTACATGAAAAAAAAAAAATGAATTTTTGGTTTTTTTTTTTTGATAAATTTACCGTACTGAAATCGACTACAAATGACTATAATATACTACAAATTCTATAGTCATGTATAGTTATATGTAGCGATGACTACATATCTGTATATGACTACATATAACTGTATATTCACCTGAACCAAATCACCCATATCTCAGTAACCACTACTGATTAAGTTTCTACTACAGACAAACAAAGCTCACACACTTGAGGTATTTCGGATCATCTTCAAATAAATACAAAAAAATAAATTACATATGAATTGTAACAAAAATGAACAAGATAAGAATAAAAAAAATAAAAAAATCAAATTAATGCAACGAAAAATATGTTAATATTAATTGTTCACAAATCTTGAAAAACATAGTAGATCAGTGTTTTTTTAAAAGAAATAATAGATCTGGTTTGAGCCATCCCTCAAGCAAAAAAAGAGAAGAAACTAAAACAATAACGTAGAAACCATTCCTTCAAATGGAAGTACAAAGAGATTTAAAACGACTTTAAATCAAACAAACCCTCATCCACCATGTTTTTGGCATCACCAAGTATATTCGATTTGGACGGGTGATTCAAGGCGGCGATTGGCGTCGAGCACGCGAAAAGTGGCGGCGGCACAAGGCTGTGGGAGGAGCAGCGGCGGCGACACAAGGCTGTGGGAGAGCAGGGGCGGCGGCGCAAGGGGGTGGGGGAAGCAACGGTGATGGGCGGCGCAAGGCGGTGGGGGAGCAGGGTGGCGAGAGAGAGAGAGAGAGAGAGAGAGAGAGAGAGAGAGAGAGAGAGAGAGAGAGAGAGAGAGAGAGAGGACTGAGGGAGTAGGTTGGTGGAAAAGAGAAAAGAAGGGTTAGGGTTTGAATTGTAACTAAAAGGGTAAAACATGTATTTCAATTTGTCTAGGGGGTTTGTCAAATTAAGATTAGAATTTGAGTTTTTGACTAGGGAAGAAAAATCTATAGGACCTATTCATATATATTTCAAAACTAGAGGGTTATCCCACATTTCCCCTTTATTTTTATAAACTAAATGTCAACTCATTTAACAACCATCACTCAGCAGGGTCACAGGACCAAAACTCCCAACTTTTATAATTTACAGGACTAAAATTTTAATTTTGAAACATGGTGGACTAAAACTCCAAACTAGAAAACTTAAACGACTAAAAAATTCATTTTGCCTATTTGTAGGGTGCCCTAATTATATAATCCAAATTTTAGGGTTGAAATCAACGGAAAAATAGTAATATATTTTCAAACGAGTCATTATCCAGACAAAACAATACTTACCTTCATATATATTATATTATTTATGATAAAACACCAAATATAATAAATATTATAAACATCTAATTAGTTAATTTAGCAAAAGCCTTGCTTGCCACCCACTAACCCACTACTTGTATATAACATAAAGAAGAAAATTATTTAATTAGGAGAAGAAATATTCAAAGTAAACCAGGTTATATCCAAAAGTACCTAAACAAATAACTCTCTATAAATAGAGCTAGCCAAATATATAATTAACCAGCACAATTATATATTAATCAGCACATATACATATATACAACTACCATCCTAGTCTTGGAGAATGGCGCCGCCGCTACCCACAACCGCCGGCCCACCATCCACCGGAGAGATTCCACCGGCGGCAATTGCACTTGCCATTCGGGGGCCTACATTGCTTCTTCTATTCATTTCTGTTATCATAATCGGAACCAACACTGCTGGGGGCGACAAGTTCAACGTCTTCTCCGCTTACAGGTTCGTATATATATTATGGAAATTTATTGTCCAAAGTTACATTTTTAAAAATATATTTCTTGATACAAATTAAATAGCTAGTAGAATTGAAAACTGAATTAAATTTAAATGGAAAAATATAATAAAATACAGCATCGATAATATATTAATTTGTGTTCTTTTTTTTGTGCATGCAGCTACATGTTTGCCACTGGTATAATTGGAATCATATACACATTCATTCAAATTAATGTCAAACTATCTCAAATGAAAACTGGAAATCAAACCGCGCTTGATCGGTGGGTTCTCATCGACTTCTATGGTGACAAGGTACACGAAATTTAATTTTAGTAATTTTTTTTTTTTACTTTAAAATAAAAATACGTACGTAATTAGCACGATGGATGCAGGTACTATCTTACATGTTGGCAACAGGAACAGCGGCGGGTTTTGGACTGACGGTGGATTTGTATAATTCGTTGAGCGGTACTTCGAGTTTTCTAAACAAGGCGAACGCATCGGCTAGCCTTCTCTTCTTCGCATTCGTTTTCTCGGCAGTCTCATCTGTCTTTTCCTCATACGCTCTCCCCAAAAAATCCTAATTCTTTTGCTCTCTAATTAAGCTAAGGACAACTACAACTTTAATTTTGTCTCAACAATGTGACCAACGTTTTCTTTTCTTTTTTTAGAGTCAACTGAAAAAATACTCCTTGTGTTATTTTGTTTTGTTTCAAAACCCCCTCGTGTTCTAATTAATTAGCAAATTCTTTCTATCGTACATTTTTTTTAGCTCACGATCCTATGAAAAGAAAAAGAATCTTATGGGGGTTTTGCTATATTAAAGAAAATAAGATGAGGGTTTTTTAAACAATTACAATAAATATAAAGATGTCGAATTAAAAAATCTTCTTCTTCTTCTTCTTTTTTTTTTTTTTTTTTAACTGATTTGACATTCATATTGAAATGTAATTTTCGTTTTGTTTTGTTTTAGCTTTATGAAATTGTATCAATAAATTTAGAGTGATTCTTTTGTTCTTGATTAATTTTCAATTTGAAATGTGTACCGCCAGTGGCAAAGTCATGATTTCATCATTGGGACCAAATATATATTAGAAAATAACATAAAAAATTAATGAAAATAATGATTGTTCTACAATTGTGAGTCTAGAATTGTTTTATTGGATGAATTCAAATTTTCAGGGGGTTCGAGGCCAGGGCCCTTGAAAAAAAATTTAGGACTTTTTCCGAATTAATTTGGAGTTTTGATCGACTAAATAATAAAAATTAGGTGGACTAAATAAATATATAGGTATAATATAGTGAATTTGTTTTCAATTGAGAGTGAACTCGCTCCGCACTCTAAGCCACAATTCGTAACTAACTGTCTTATCCAACTTAGATCCATTTATTATTTTTCTCTGTTCTTTTCATTAATAATAATTAATATTATTTGGGGAAATATGCAATAACCCCCTCAAATGGAAAATATTATGAGTAAAACCCATTTGACTTTTAAGACTTTTGCACAAACCCAAAATTCAATCTTAATTAGTGAAACCCCCCTCAACAAATGTGATAAGCCGAAACTACCCTTATAAGTAGGTTTTTTAAAATAATTGCAATATTTATTTTCCATAACCTCTCACGTGATTGTAGGATTACATTAATTTCTCTCTTTAAATCTCCATATTTCTTTTTTTCGTTATCTCTCTCTCCTCTCATTCTCTCACAATTTTTTTTTTCACGCTCCTTCCTCCATATATATATATATATATATATATATATATATATATATATATATATATATATATATAACACAATTCCCCTCTGTAATTTAAAATTCTTCTGTAATTGTATGTGTTCTCTTGAATCTTTGAAGATTGTTGGAAGAACTGTTAGTCTTTGATTCAGTTACAACAGTGGCATGTAATTTGAGAACCTTTGATAAAATTCTTCAAATGATAACTGCAAGTTGTTCGTCGTTTTAATTTCTTGTTTGATGCCTTTGGTTTGTTTATATATATATATTCTCATGATTTAAGATTCATACTTTGTTTATGTTTCTCAGGTGAAGTACTCAAGAGAGCCCGACAATATTACCAAATGTAATTCATTCTTCTTCTTAATTGCATTTTATTTTATCTAGATGCAAGCCACCGGCCACAGCCGCCATCTAGGGTTACGCCTTTCCTCCTCCCAGCCCCAAACACTCTTGCCTCCGCCTCCTCACCACTAACCTATACCGGATTGATGCAAATAAAACAACGTCGACGAGATTTGAGGAACCCATAGCGCAATTAGGAGTATAGTCACATTGTAGTCACATTGTAGTCACATTGTAGTCATATTGGAGTCACATTGGACTCACTGTTATTGAATAAATACATACTTAATATGACTACAGTCATGGTTAATTGATATTTTTTTTTCTCGAATTAATTGTCGAAAAACAGACTAATTGGAGAGAATCAACCATGTAGTCATATGTAGTCGTACATAGTCATATGTAAGATCCGTAGGTTTTTTTTTCTAATTTACAATGATGCTGATGGTTGTTTTTAGTTGAAGAATTGATACATGTGTTTTTTTCGATGTATATGTGTGGCTACAAGTTGACTTGTAATAACAAGATTCAAAATTGTGATTTTTTTTTGTGGATGTTGATTGGATTTTTTTCGATCTTTGTTTTTTTTTTATATAATTTGGTAAACATGACTGTACTACACTATATAATCATATTTAAAGTTGAAAATGCGAAAACCGACAAAATAAAGAAAGAATATGACTACAATTGATATAGTCACATACAGTCATATTCAACTATAGTCATATTCAACGTAGTAAACTTTGTCTAGGAAAAAAATCATTTTTTTTTTAATTTTTGTTAAGAAAATATTAAAAAAATATTAAAAAAAAATTAAAAAAATAATAAAAAATAAAAACTGTACTCTGCAAAGCTTTTAAGTAGTGGGTTTTGATTTGTACGTGATCAAGCATATTTTTATTTTTTTTAATTCGTTGGCTGATTTTATGGAGATGTGATATTGTGCTGATTTTTTTTTTATTTTCTTCTTTAATTAGTTGGCTGAATTTAAGGAATTGGGAAAAAAATTGCTATTATTTTGGCATTATTTAAGGAAGCAAGAAACGTGCAATTATTGGGTAGGAGATTGTATAATGTTAGAAGGGTAGTATTAGAATTAATATTTATAGGGGTTATCACAAAGAAAGATTTAAGGATTGGGCATATCACCATTTATTATTCATCCAAGGGGTTTATTGCTAAAGACCCCATATTATTTTGTATATAAAACTAACTTGTTAAAAATTATAGGATTACAATACAAAGAGTACAATAACTTATATATAAATATATATTAGCCACCCTGGCCCTACAGAGAATCGATCCAGGTACGTGATTTATGTGCACCGTCATCTTGTTAAATGGTAAATATTCTTAGTGTGATTGATAAATTCTGACAAATGAGATCTACGGTCTTTTACATTAATCTAACGCGTACATTGTACCCATGAAAACGAGGAGAGTATGATATTATCTTGTTGAACATTGTTGGGACGAATATTAGCACCAAAGTGCAGGGTTGGATTGGATTGGTTTTTACCCATACCGATCATATTTTCAGATGGATAATAATTTTTTACCCGACCTATTGGATCGGATTGAAATTTTTGACCAACCCATCTATAATGGGTCGGTTGATGGTTTCTAATATTATTAAAATTTGGTTGGCCGATAATTATCGATCAACCAAATATATTAATAAAATTTTATTAAAAATGATAAAATAAAGGGTGTGGTTTTTTTAAGTGGGTATGGAATTATCAAATAGTTAGAATTTTAAATTGAACAAAAAAAAATCAATAAGGAAAAAAATTAGATATAAATCTTCAAGCATAAACTGGGAATGTGATTGTTTGGATTAGTTTGAATTTTATAATTATATTTTTATTGAATTGATATTAACTATTTTGAATTGATAAATGATCATGACGAGGGAAACTATGCAGAATTATATATCTATATATATATATATATATATATATATATATATATATATATATATATATATATATATATAACCACTTTGGTCTTTTTCGCCTCTATTTTTTAGGGAATTTTACATATTTTACGTAGAGTACTGAAGTGAAATTGAATGACCGCTTTTTGACTCTTGCTCTTTCGAGATGATTACCAAAATAAATAAATAAATAAAGAAAAAACAAATAGGTAGGGAAGCTATAATTGTAAAACCGCGATCAAATTTATGGAAGCATTGGTTTATACGTTCCTTTTAGTTTCGACTCTAGGAATAATATCGTTCGCTATTTTTTTTCGTGAACCACCTAAAGTTCCAACTAAAAAGATATATTAAATGATTTTTGATTATCTTAATTGAAGTAATGAGCCCAAGTAACATATACATGTGTGATACGGGCCATTCTGACCGAGTTGAACAAATACGAGTTAAGAAGAACCGATCCACTACCACAAGGAAAGATACCGAACTGTGATCTTCAAATGACGACCTAAGACTTCGGAATACTGTAGTTCGCAACTAATGTTAAAAACAACCGAAGTCCAGCGAAGAGGAGGTGCATAAACCCTAAGCGGGCCCAAATCATGAAGGCCCGGAAAATATAACTTGAAGAGAAAACAAACCCTAAAAAAGGAAACCTTGGAGGCCAAGAAAGAGTCATCTATAAATAGAGGATACATCATCTTTCCACACACACACATACTTACGTTACAATAATAACATCCTAAAACACGTAACTGACTTGATCGTCGGAGCTTTCCCGCCGGGATCTCCCTCCGGCGTTGCAGGTACACAAGTTGAAGGACTCTCTCAAATCCTAAAGATGAAGGAAGCCTCACAGACCAAATCAAGTGGCGCCGTCTGTGGGAACAATTTCCTGAAATCGTGGGTGCATAACATCCGGGAAAAACACTATATCTACCCCCAGAAGTCCAGATCTGAGCTATAAACGTGGAGAAAATAGAACAAGGAGACACCATTATCCGAAACTTGCAAAAGGAATTAGACGCAACAGCTCACGATACACCCACTATTGAGTCATCACCTGTTCAAAAAGACAAATCTGGATGCAGCATGGTCACACCCACGAGGGAGAGCCAAACTTTTCTCTTCTCGGATAGTCCTTCTTTCGATTTTCAGCATGGCGAGCCCGCTTCGAAGAAACCAGTCACAGCCCCTGTCCCTACTCAACCTCCTAACGAATGCATGTATACCGAAAACGAGGTGGAAGCTATGATGAATGCGGCCATCAGGAGCTATGCCCAGTCTTCACCACAAGAGAACAGGCCGAAAAGAGACCTTAGGCTCCCCACGAACGAAGAACGAGCTGAAAACGAGTGCGATAGTCACTCGGAAAACAGAGGAGGTGACAGTCAGGATGTCCGGACCGAGGTTGACAGCTTGAGGCGAGATATAAACGAACTGAAGGCCTTGCGAAGTGGTTTGACACAAACTCCCGAAGGTACTAGCCCGTTTGCCAAGCATCTCGATAATGATCCTATACCGCCCAATTATCGACCTATTCTGTTCGAATATAATGGTGCGTCAGATCCGGCCGAACACCTGAGCCGATTCAACAACACGGCTTCCCTCCATCAGCTTACCGAAGGGGTGAAATGTCGTGCTTTCGTCACTACTCTGGCTGGACCAGCCCAGGCCTAGTTCGGCCTACTGCCGCCTGGAAGCATACATTCCTTCGGGCAGTTTACCAAGGCTTTCATGAACCAATTCGCTAGCTCGAAAAAATGTAAGAAAACCTCGCTCTCATTATTCAGCATTCGACAAAGGGAGAAGGAAAGTCTCCGAAACTACATCAAACGTTTCACCTCGGAAACTCTAGAGGTCCCCACCACTAGTGACGAAGTATTAATGGCCGATCTCTCGCAAGGGCTAAGAGATGATGAATTCTTTCGAGCCTTAACACTGGAGCCATCCCCTGATTTCGACAACTTGTTAGGAAGAGCATCTAGGTTCATCAACCTGGAAGAAGCCCGACAGCAGAAGATAGAAGAATCTTATCAGGCTTTAGGTGTAAGGACCAACGAAACGAGGCAAAGAGCCTATTTTGCCACGAAGAGATACGACGTCCGGCCGAAATAGTGTCCCAGACATTAAAGTCCCCCGATATCAGTCGTATCAGCCCCTCACAGCTCATTTACCCAATGTCCTGTGCGCAATTGAGAAGAGAAGTGACTTACGCTGGCCCCGGTTCGCCCGTGAAGAACCCCGCCGAAGCCCGGCATTAGGTACCTTTTGTCGCTTCCATAATGAGTATGGTCACACGACAGATGAATGTTCGCATTTAAAAGATGAGGTAGAGCGTCTTATCAGAGATAACAAAATCGGGGATTTTGTAAAAGTAGATCCCCCCGGGGACAGAAACGCGAGGCCCAGTTCGGAAACCCGGCCCGGGTCCCTCCCCCGCCCCCGATGCCAAAATGAGGATACATGCAAATGATCTCGGGAGGACCCACGGGAAGAGATACCCACCGAGCTAGGAGACGTCACATCGGTGATATTAAGAATAATCCTGAAATTTGCCAGGTCTCTGCAAAGGCGTATCACAAATATCCCGCTATCTCGTTTGGACCAGAAGATGCCGTAGACCTCGATGATTTTCATTGCGATCATCTTCTCATCACAATTAACGTGGGTGGATACGACGTGGTTCGCGCTTTCGTTGACTCGGGGAGTTCTGTTGATGTTATATCTTACGATTGCTTCCGGCAAATGGAGCTCGACCTCCCCATCTTCCCAGTCACTACCCCGATATTCGGGTTTACAGGTGGATCCTTGACCCCGGTCGGACAGGTTAAAATCCCAGTCACCATTGGGACGCCACCTCGCACGCGGACACAAACCGTCAACTTCGTAATTGTCGAAGGATCCCCCACCTCGTATAACATCGTGATAGGCCGACCAATGATGCATATCTTCCAGGCAGTCCCCTCCACCATACACCAAAAGCTCAAATTCCCGGTAGATGGGGCGATAGGGGAGGTCAAGGGTGACCAAGCTCAATCAAGATCTTGTTACGTCGAAATGGTCAAAATGGCAGAAAAGGGACGGCGCAACACTTTCATTAAAGAAGACCTGGGAGACGAGAAGCGCCCCCGAGTCGATCCCGAAGATAAGGTCGCTCATGTACAACCCATGGACGAGCTAATGACGATCGACCTGATCCCTGGCACGACGAAGAAAACCCGGATAAGCAAAGGCTAGTAGCATTGTTGCGATCTAACACGGATGTTTTTGCATGGCAACCAAGCGATTTAACTTGCATCGCACCTCATACCGCCGTGCATAGACTTAACTTACGACCCGAATGTAAACCCATCAAACAAAAACGGCGACACTTCGGGGCCGAGAATGATGAAATTATTAGGCAAGAGGTCCAACGACTGTTAGATATCGGACACATCCGAGAGATTCAGTTCCCCACGTGGTTATCTAATGCAGTGCTAGTCCAGAAGACCAATGGGCAATGGCGGATGTGCATTGACTTCCGAGACTTGAACAAGGCTTGCCCTAAGGACGATTATCCCTTACCTCGCTTAGATCAGCTTGTAGACGCCACCGCTGGATGCGAACTACTCAGCATGATGGATGCCTCACAAGGATACCATCAGATCCCATTGGACAAGAGAGACCAACCCGCAGTCAGTTTTATTACAGCCACTGGCACTACTGTTACGTAGTGATGCCATTTGGCTTGAAAAATGCGGGAGCTACATACCAGAGATTGATGGATAAGATGTTTCGGGCTCAACTCGGGCGTAATATAAAGGTCTACGTAGATGATATGCTGGTTAAAAGCAAAAAGCGATCGACACATCTTGCCGACTTAGCCGAAACGTTTGTCACCCTCCGCCTTTATGGGATGAAGCTTAACCCTGAAAAATGTGCATTTGGTGTTAAGGCTGGAAAGTTTCTCGGATATGTGATCACTCAAGAAGGCATCAAGGTGAATCAGGACCAAGTCGAAGCAATACTCCGGATGAGGCCTCCTCGGTCTATTAAAGAAGTACAGTCCTTAGCTGGAAAAGTGGTAGCCTTGGCCCGCTTCATATCGCGAATGGCTGATAAAAGCTTGCCTTTCTTCAAAGTTCTAAGGAAGACGGCTCAGTTCGAATGGTCCGAAGAGTGCCAAACCGCCTTTGAGGCATTGAAGGTATCACTATCTCGTCTACCCATCCTCAGCACTCCCGAAAGGAGTGAAACACTTTTCGTATACCTATCCGTGGGCGACGAGGCAGTTAGCTCAGTCCTGTTCAAGGAAGTGAATAACCGGCAGATGCCGATTTATTACATTATCAGAATCCTCACGAGCTCGGAAACTAAGTACTCCGAAGTCGAAAAAATTGCTTACACACTGGTCCTCACCACACGACGGCTTCGACCTTCTTATCGGACACTATTGTAATTCGCACGAGCTTACCACTCTGTCAAACTCTGGGCCAACCTACGGCGTCTGGACGGATTTTCAAATGGGCTGTTGAGTTAGGGCAGTACGAGATCCAATATCAACCTCGTACTTCGGTAAAGGGACAAGCACTGGCGGACTTCATACGAGAAACTACGAGAATACCTATGGAAAAGGAATGGAAAGTCTATGTGGATGGGTCATCTACGACGATAGGAGCAGGAGCAGGAATCAAAATCATCGATCCTACGGAAATAGAAGTCGAATTCGCTATTAAATTACCGCGGGTTTCCAATAACGAGGCAGAATACGAGGCTGTCATCCGAGGCATGGAAATCTCCCAAGAACTCGGCGCCCGAGTAATACAAGTGAATTCCGATTCCCAACTGGTAATACATCAGTTAGAAGGGGATTATGAAATTAAGAATGATAGAATGTGAGGATATGTAAACAAAGCGAAAGTTGTGCATGAAACCTTTGAGGCCTGCACCGTTCGCCAGATCCCGAGAAATGATAATCAGCGAGCTTATTTCCTCGCCAAAATTGGGTCATCTGTCATTGACTGCGTTGAGAGGAAGATATCTATCCTCATTGCCCCTACCCGAGCCTCTGGGATCATGATGCTCGAAGAAGAGGAAGTCGATTGGCGGACTCCCCTGTTCGCGTATTTTCAAGGAGAACGAACTGGGAAGACCAGAGAACAACATCATTTAGCATATAAAGCTCGGCACTTCTATGTGCGGCATGGGATACTATACAAAAGAAGTTACACCACAGTAGACGCGAGGTGTTTGGGAAAAAGAGAAGTAGAGCATGTCCTCGACGAGGTACACCGAGGAGGCTGCGGTGAACATGGGGGGGCCCGGGCACTCATACAAAAATTACATCGGGCTGGATAATACTGGCCCGACATGAAGAAAGATACTCATCAATACGTCAAACGATGCAAACAGTGTCAGAAGTTCGCCCCGCTCATCCATAAACCTGGGGAAGAAATGACCATTATGAGTGCTCCATGCCCCTTTGCACAGTGGGGGATTGATCTGGTAGGACCTTTTCCACAAACGATTGGTAGGAAAAAGTTCCTTATTGTCGCAATAGACTACTTCACCAAGTGGGTCAAAGCAGAGGCCCTATCAAAAATATAAGAGGATGAAGTCATGCACTTCATATGGAAAAATATTTGCTGCCGATTTGGCATACCTCGGAGCCTTGTGTCGGATAATGGTACCCAATTCAACGGAAAGAAAATTCGAGCATGGTGCGAGGAAATGAAAATTACACAGAAATTCGCAGCAGTCGTACATCCTCAAGCCAATGGACAAGTCGAATCTGCAAACCGAACCATTGTCAATGGCCTTAAAAAAAGGATAGACGAGTTGGGAGGAAGCTGGGTAGACGAAATACCCTCGGTCCTTTGGTCTTACCGAACAACTGCCAAAGCCGCTACTGGCGAGACGCCATTCCGATTAACCTATGGGACCAAAGCAGTTATCCCGGTCGAAGTGGATATGGACACACTTCGCATAGCCACATTTGACAACGCAAAAAACGACGACGCCTTGAGAGCGCAGTTAAACGAGGTTTTCAACTTACGAGAGGCAGACTACCTACATATGGAACGAAGCAAGAATCTGATCAAGGCCCGATATGACCAAGGAGTCCGGTCTGGTTCCCTCCAGATTGGTGATTTGGTCCTCCACCGAGCTGACGCCTTAAAGCACACGGGTAAGTTGGAGGCTAACTGGGAAGGACCATATGCGGTCACAAAGTGTTTGGCCGGTGGCGGATACGAGCTGGCAGACATGGAAGGAAAAGCACTGCCGAGAGCATGGAACATAATCCATTTGAAACGTTTTTTCGTGTAAAAAAAAAAAAAACAAACAAACAAACAAAAGGGGGACAACACACCTTGTAAGTGAATACCATCAATAAACACGTACTTTCCGAGCTGGGCTAGGCCCCGTGGTTTTTTCTCTCCTTGTTTGGAGGGTTTCCACGTTAAAATCTCCGTGCCATTCATTTCCCATAAAATGAGTCGTTAAATCGAGCTGAGTTGAAAAATCAAGTTGATATAAAATGAGTCGTTAAATTGAGCTGAGTTGAAAAATCAAGTTGATATAAAATGAGTCGTTAAATCGAGCTAAGTTGAGAAATCACGTTGATATAAAATGAGTCGTTAAATCGAACTGAGTTGAGAAATCACGTTGATATAAAATGAGTCGTTAAATCGAGCTGAGTTGAGAAATCAAGTTGATATAAAATGAGTCGTTAAATCGAGCTGGGTTGAAAAATCAAGTTGATATAAAATGAGTCGTTAAATCGAGTTGAATCAATAAACGAGTTGAGACATTAAACTAATATAGAACAAGTCGAGCCAAAATTAATAGCAAGTTCAACAAAGATACAAAACGAGTCGTTAAATCACGAGTTGAGCCAAGTCAGATAATGGGTTGAGCAACTTAGTTAAGTTGGATCATTAAAAAAGGCTAAGTCAGGACCATAGCACGAGCTATTCAAGCAGAAAGAGCCATGAGAAGAACCCAAAAATCCACAGCGAGGTCTATTAAAGGTGACTTACACAAATACTAACTTGATTAAGAATACTTCTTCAAGTCAAAACTTGTACAAATGCGAACGGCAAAACATAAAAGAAATATGGAATTCGGGTGAGCACAGGAAGAAGATCATAAACCAAACGCACGAGATGCTATAACGAAGTACAAAATTATATAACAGAAACAAAACATTGTTCGAAACGCGAAGTGAAGGAAAAACTAAAAATACATGGTTTAAAAATACATCATCGGAACATGAACAGACATTTCAGCTAAGCACTTTCGTTCCTCGTTTCAGTGGGTTCCGCCCTCGCTTCACTGGAATCTTTCGCAGTAGGAGGAAGAGTTATAGCCGGACTCGGTTGCGGTTCGTTGAGATTGGTCACCGCCTCAACATTTTCCACATCTCCGACATAGTCGGTGATGATCATCGACGATGTCCCTTGCCGAGAGAAGTCCTCAACAAGTTCGCGGTAAACTTGCTTCCACCACTCCAAGTCGGGGTCCTCATTTATATCCCCTTCGAAGCCCGGGATCTCGTTGTCCGGAAGATCCTCAGCAAGCTCTTCCTCGGCCAACGCGAACTTGATACCAGCCCCATTCAGTCGCTTCTGAGCAGCTTTCACAGCAGCGGAAAAGAAGAAACGGGCCAAGGCTGAAGCCTCTCGAGTAAAGGTCGTGGATCGCCACAACCGGTGGAAGAACCGACGAACGAACTCTTGTGCGAAGCGGAATCCTTCTAACGACCCAGGGAATAGCCGATGTCCCTCTTTCACCCCTTCGGTGAAATTAGAGGATGCTTGCACTCCAGCAGCAAAAAGCTTGTTTGTAAGAACCTTCGCTTTCTCCTCTAAACTGGCATTATAAGATACCAGTGAGTCCTTCTCTGCTTGCAGGATCTTCTTCTCATCCTGCTCTCTCCGCACCTCGGCAAACAACCCTTCCTTCGATGACTCCGCCAGTGCCAGGCTCTCCTTCAGAGCTCGAACTTTTTTCCGGAGTTGGGTGAACTCCTTCTTTTGATTATCATACGCTTCTCGGGAAACGTCGTCCCATCCCAGAGGGCCCGAGAAGGCGATGGCAAATTGCTACACACACAAGCAATTCAAATAAAGTTAGCGGTGAACAAAAGTGTACAGACAATACTGACTCGCTTGTGCGAAAACTTTTACCGACCTGAGTAATGTTGTGCAGAACCAGCTCGAGTTTGTCGCCTTTACTCATTTGACGATAGTACGCGACATCTCGGGGAAAAGCCAAAGCCCGGCCTGCGGCAATGGCGTTCTCCGCGTTTTGGCAGAGATGGAGGGCGAAGTTGGGTAGGGGATGCGAACCAATGGGCCCAAGGACTTGATCTGTTTTCCTCTTCTTCGAGGAGGGTTCATTCTCTACGATCTCTTCGGCGGGAGGGGGCAGCGAAGAGGAAGCCACGACTAAAGACGATGACTGTTGAGGGGGGTCGGAGTCCTCAATCCGTAACCCACCTCGGGGATGCGTGGGCCCGGTAATCTTCTTGGTGGTTTTCGGCTTTGAGGCCCCCTCTTCCGATGGCCTTTTCTCGGAATCAGCAGCCACAGGGCGTTGGAAATCTAACGCCTGGAATCCGGGTTCCGGCTCGGAGGGACGAGTTGCTGGTTTACTACCTCGAAACATTCTCTTCATCCTTAAGTATGTTCATTAAGTTTGGAAAAACGAAGTAAGCAACTGCTAAAAACCA